GTTTTTTTTTGGGGGGGGGGGGGAGAGCCTGCGATCTGGCATGCGTTCCACATGACCAGCCCAACGAAGTTGATACTGCATCAGTAGAGTGTGGATGCTGGGCATGGCTGCTTTCTCAAGGATTACGGTATCAGGTACTTTGTATGAAAGAGTGACTTGCGCAGTGACCTGGATTAACGTGAGGAAGAGTTGCGTAGCGTCGTTGACCTCACTCTCTCGCCTAAGTCATATCTGGGTCCAGTGGCAAGACAGAGTCAGGACGACTGGAGATATTTCTAGGTGCAGTGGATGACCAGGGCGTTCTACGTGCCTCGCCATGCTCTATGCGCTCCACAGCGCTTTGCTAGTGTCGCCGTCTTGATCGTTGAACCAAATATGGTTTCCAACGCGCATTCTGCCGACAGTAGTCTTTGCATGCTTGGATAGGCAGATCCTAACTTACCGATGGAAACTAACTGGATACTGAAAGTTCAGTCAAAAATTGTCTGCGAATGAAAGAGTTTAACCTCTATAAAAGTCTGTCTCAGTGGTGAAGAGTGATTAATTCGCAACTCTTTCTAACCTGTAGCAGGTAACAATAACACTGGAGAGGGTATCACGTGATATGTTCATCCTGATCTGTTCGCTGTTGAGAATATGCGTGCGCAGCTATAATTATAGTACAAGTAACTGGTAGCTTTCCATATTATAGCTTCTGTAGGAGCGTACCCCCCCCCCCTCCCCCTCCCCCCCCCGGGCTATTTTCGCTTTGTTCAAGACATAAACTAAACGAATCATGTGCAATAAACAGTAAACAATAAAAATAATTAGCAAAATCATTTCACTTTGGCAATGGAAAGTGTAAGCGGTGATTACATGTTACATGTCGTTGCATGCACGCCTCGTCAGGGGTATGACCCACTTGTTGGTCCCTGGCCGGGGTCCGCGAAACAGATTTAAGGAGGTCCGTTACATTTACACACACACACACACACACACACACACACACACACACACACACGCACGCACGCACGCGCACACACACACACTCCTTTTTTCAGTTCTGATATTTATAAATTATAACAAGTTCTTCATTGTGTTTATTTAAAAAGTATGGGGTCGGTGCAGAGCCAGATTTAGACTAGATGAGGCCCTAAGATATGTAAAACCTCGAGATCCCTATCGTTTTAAATTGCACCAGATGATCTTAAAACAAAGAAGAAAAAAAAAACTGTAAAATATAAACGCCTTTTAAATATATGGATTACGGAAATATATTGTCTTTTAAATTTTAATTTAAAAAAAAAAAGAATAAGAATTGTGTCTGCAAAAATCACAGAATTAAAATAATTGATTCATCTTAATGGCTCTATTATTTGATGTAAAAAACATTGTGAGGCCCCTGCAGACTGTGTGGTCTTAAGATGTAGCTTAGTTTTGTGTGTTTGTGTGGGGGGGGGGGGGGGGAATGTTACCCCTTTATTTCCATCTAATATGTATTGCGAGTATAGTGTTTTTAGGTGTGTTGCTGTAGAAACAAAATGCAACACATAAAAATGTAAGAGGGACAGAAAAATAAAGACAAAACACGGGAGGGGAGATGGAAAAGTCAAGGAGAACACCATTCATTTATTTGTTTTGTTGTTTTCCAATGTGTTGTTCTCTGATTGGTCATGATTTTTATTGGTATAACGACGTAGATAAAGCTTAGTTAGTTCATGCCTAAATCCAGCACTTGGTCCGCAGCAGATCTTGGAAGAAAACAAAACAGAAAGTGGTCCGCAGATCTCAGCTAACCGAGAATCACTGCTCCATCCCATTCAGGCAGTGGTTTTCATTGTTTTCTAATGCGGCGTCACTTTAATACAGTTCCTCATTTTTTGGCGACTCTTTAATATGGTTTCTCATGTTGTGGCGACCCCCAACCTTACAAATATTTTTGACACTACTTTAAAACTTGAATATATATGTGTTCTGCGATATTATTTGGCGACCCCTGTGAAAGCGTTGTTCGACTCAAAAAAGGGGTCGCGATCCACAGGCTTAGAATCGCTGCATTTACGCAATTTGACAACTATTGTCAGGGGAAGGACATAGTGAACGCACGGATGAAGCATCCAACTAATGATAATACATATGAGGCAGAGATCACAGGTGACAGCTTCATTATTTCAGCAGATATGATACAGAAGTTTTTGGTGCTGTCATCATTGGTTAGCTACTGTGCTCTTCAGAGTTCATCCTACACATTTTCCTCACACATTACAGCAGTTTTTGATTTTCTTATAGAACTCGCCTGCGCTACTGCCTATACACCAGGGTCGGCTGAAGTTGGGGTTACACACACAGTAAGTTGCCCCCCCCCCCACACACACACTTCCTTTATATTTATTGGGGTATTTGAATTTTAATTTACCCTAAACAAATCTAGCAGTGTTGGTATATTTAGCACGAGTTAATAGTTAAGTTTAACGTTTAGGGTTAGTTTTAGGGTTAGCAACACACAAATTACATTAACTCAAAATAAAACAATTTGATGCCACGTGATGTGCTTGGACTATCCCGGTAACTCCCGGATTTCCTTTGTTTTGGGTGAATTGAAATTGAAGCACCTGCTCTCTTTTTAATTAATTGTTTAACCAGTTGGACGAGCAGTGGTGTAGAACGTCGAACGGTTTAGAACGTCCGGTTCTCATGCAGGAGACCCAGGTTCCAATTCTCGAGAAGGTTGTGGATTGTGGAGGCAAAAATACATTCCTAACTTGCACGGTACTTGGCGACAGCACTAACCAAGTGGCCCAAATTCCTCAGGTGTAAAATCTGAATACACCATAAAAGCGGTAAAAACATGCAGACGTGACAGTTATATATTTGTTGGCAGTCCTAGGTCAGCCTAGATTTAATTAGGTGTCAGGTAAATTCCTGGGAAGTAAAGGCGGCCGTCGTGATGTTTATGTGCTAATTAGTGTATTATGTATAGGTCTAGCAGCATATGCTCAGTACACCTGAAGGCGTAGAAACGGTTCCTTCAAACATTTTATATTATTTTAAATATATTATTATATGTTTTTGCCATTCAGCAGATATTATTGATGATGATGTTAAAAATAATAATAATAATAATTTTTTTTTTTTTGCGGACCTAAGACTTAAGCCCCTCGGGTTCCCCTCCCGGCTTCCTAGACCATTATAAAGAGATCCGCCCCCCCCTTTTTTTTCCCAACATTGACGACCAGGTCATCCATTTGCTCGCCGGTAGACGACTTACTTGCCGGTCGGGACAGTATTTTGGTCTGTCTCCTTTGATTTGGCCATGCGCCTGGCGTTGGTTTCGACAGTAGTATCAAGAAAGCCGACCGCCCAGGAAGCAATGACAAACTACTGGACGTAAATGTGCCTAGAAAAACCACACAACAGCCAGGGTCTCTTTGGGTTGGTTCTGCAACGTCCTGTAAACGATACGCAACTAACCTCCTTTGATTGCACAACAACACTGCAGGAGTACTTGTCAGGGCTCTTAGTGGCGTTCAGTAATTAGCCATTGTACATGGTGCACATAACCTTGTCACAATCATAACCTAAAGCGCCCGCTTCGGGGATGCTGGTTGAAAAGTGACGATTTTTTTCTTCTGCAAAGCACCTTCCCCCCCCCCCCCCCCCCCCCCCCCCCAAAATCAATTGTCCCCCCCCCCCCCCCCCCCAACGTGGCGCCTTTGCATGCACCCTCAGTTCTCAATTATGTATTCGCGCTATGAACGTACTCAAACGTGCATGCGGGCTTCATTATCGAGACTAGTTTCCCCCCATGTTCCAGCATTAACATTTTGTCACGAAAATCGCGGCCAACGCTACGACAAAAGGCCAGTCGGCATAGCTGCCATGTGTAGCAAGCAGTAAATACCTCAGCTAATCGTCGCCGGCGACTTGTCTGCTAGACTAACCACCAGCCTAGGGGTCGCTCGGGCACTTAACGACGCTGGTCATGTGATAATAGAACATAGGACGGTAACGCGAGACAATCAGAAGTATCGCGCCTGACATAAAATAGTCGTAGGATAACAGTTGAAGCACGCATACTTGGTGATTTGTTCAGTTTATCATTGTAGGATTATTCTCATTGTTTTATTGGTTGATAACGACTTTGTTCCAAACATTGTATCGGCATTATTACAAATTTGTATAATATTAAATAACCAAAAGAATAAGATAAATTTAAATATCCAGTAAGTAGGAACAGAAGAAAACTGTGTCCCAGTTGTAGACCAGAAAGGTTGAACAGGATAAAATAATAGTAAAAAGGACCCTTTTCAGGCCTTTTCTGTATCATGCATGCAATTCAAGAGCCATATATTTTATGATCAATCGGCACTTAGTAGGTGATTTTGCCAGCAACGCCTTTACATCCTAGGAAATGTCTTGGTACCCATGTTGACCAAAATATCATTGATCAAAGTGTACTGCTGTTTCGGGAAGCGTCTTTTTCCTTCTCCCCCTTCACATCCCCCTAATAGCTTCTTGGCCATAGTTCGCGTATGGTCATTAATTTCGTTTATTACTGTTGAGTAATTGACGTTCAACCGCACCAGGACCCCACAACGAACGATTAACACCCGGTGACACAAAGTGCCACCATTCAAATGAGAATCCACCAAGCGCTAGTCCCAGAAACCCCCTTTTTACCCTTAGGTTATATAAGGGCCCTGATGACAGGCGGGTGGGGCTTTAAAGTAATACAAATGTGCGTCCCATACTGAAGGACGGAGTTAACAATGAGCAGATGTAGTAGATGTGTTATTACCATCAGTCTATATATTTACAGCTGTCATGTAAGCATCCCGTGTGTCTTACCAATACACGCATGTATAACTCTCCCGTGGTTAAATATGAAGTAGACTAGTTGACAAAACAAAACTACCACAGGCCACTCGCGAAAGGTGAGAGGTGGCCAACATTTCTGATATCGCCGGATTATGGCTGTTCCACTTCCCACGCCGTGCTAGATAGCATTCACAGGATTTACAATGAGAAGTTTAGCCCGGCTACCTATTCTTTGTTTCTTTACCTGCTCGGTTTTGCCGATCTGTGTTCTGTCGTTCAACGTAGACACAGACAACTCGATTGTATTCAAAGGCCCTAGGAACAGCTTTTTTGGATATTCCGTTGCTATTCTGGAGAATTCTCAGGGCACATGGTAAGTGTTTGTTTGTTTGTTTGTTTTAGTATCCAGAAGCCATGGGTTGTTAACCCTTAGGCTCGGTATTATGGATATCACAACCTTTCGGCCTTGATTCCATTGTAAATACCGTAAATCTGGGAGAAAATGTGGCTTTCCTGCCTACCCCCGGGATTGAACCCGGACCACAAGGGGTTCGTCACCCAGTCTCCGCGCAATCCGGTTTAGCCAATTACGCTTGAGAGCCGGGCACATGGTAAGTGTTTAAGAAGTAAAAAGGAAAATAATTGTTGTCTCACTTAGTTAGTAGTTTTTCTGAAGGTTAAGGCATTTTTTTCTTCAGGATTTCTGTAAAAGATACTTTGTGGTGCCTACCGGCATCTTTTAGGCAGCCACCGTGGCCCTAGCGGCTAGACGCTCGCCTGCTGATCGGAAGGTCGTGGGTTCGGTGCCGGACAGGGGCCGGATATTTTTTCAAAAATGACCTTGGCTTATAGGTGGACCCAGCCTTAAGTGGGTTCCAGGCACAGTCCTGAGAAGTAAAGACGGCTGGCGTGATGCTAACTACATCACCCACCAAGTGCCGTTTAGTCTATAAAATATAGGTCTAGCCCTATATACCCAATACTCCTGAAAGGCATGGAAAAGGGTCCTTTACTTTTTTTAAAACCGGCATCTTTTATTACGCCCTCTGTGGTGAGTATTCTAGAAAAGTCAGTCTGCTAGTACTGCTGTTAGAAGAGCTTTCCCCCATCTTGTGCGGCTGGTTATTTCTTCTTCTTTTTTCTCGCTTTTTCTACGGTTTGCCTCTTAGGGCATGCCTGGTAGGGTGCAGTGTTACTATTCTTTGCTTCCCGTGAGGGCATCATATAGGTAAAGTTGAAAAGATGATAAGGACAATGCGTGGGCGAAGGATAGAACGACATCACGAGTGCGATAATTGAGGATCTATGTTCCATTGCTATGCATTAAGAAAAGTATATGTATGGATTACTACGCTATCGGTTACAAGAAGTTTTTAATTTAAACGTAACATAAAGTAAAGCAAAGGATCCTTCTCATTTTTATTTTGGTAGACCAAACGATACTCAGCATTATGCTGCCCGCCTTTACTTCCCAGATCTTTACCAGGTACCCATTTTAGACTGGTCGATCTGGGAGCCATAGTCATTTTTTTAATCGGATGTTTAGCTGTTATACCACTGAGGCTCCCAAAATGAAGGCAATCAATTTGTATGGAAAATGTGGTTTCAAAGGTAATTGTACTCTAGATAATAATTTTCAAGAGCAGGAAAATTATCATCAACTAATTGCCATCATCATCATCATCATCATCTTCTTCTTCTTATTCTTCTTCTTCTTCTTCTTCTTCTTCTTTTTCTTCTTCTTTTACTTCTTCTTCTTCTTCTTCTTCTTCTTCTTCTTCTTCTTCTTCTTCTTCTTCTTCTTCTTCTTCTTTATCATCATCATCATCATCATCATCATATCCTCCTCTTCTTATTCTATTAACATCACCACCACTACCACCACTACTACTTTACTACTTTTATTACTATTACTGCTGCTGCTAAGGCTACTGCTGCTGCTGCTGCTACTATTACTTCTACTGATGATGCTGATACTGCTATTACTACGCCTACTTCTGCTGCTGCAACTAATATTACAGCTTCTTTGTAAAAAAGCTTTTTCTTGTGGGTGGATCCTCGTGTAAACTTCCTCCTCATTCCTTTATCTCCTTCTCGTCCTCTTTTTTCTTCTAATTCTTCTCCTAATTACCTGGTAAACTAGTGATATCTACACAAAAAGTCTCCTTTTTGAAAGCACGTTGCTGAGATCAAGAGCTTGTTCAGACTGTCAGATAGTCTTCTCTATACTAGTCTCCTCTTAGTAGGCCAATCTTCGGTCCACAACTGAGAGAACATGCGGCAGGCTTCAAAGGATATGTTTGGTTATCTCGAGTACCATTTGCATAGGCACCAGTTCATGCTGACTGTTCAGAATGTCACGTGTTGTTCTAATGTTGAATAGGGTCGCCTCTTTGGCTGGATCTCTTTCTAATAATGTTGTTATTAAAGTATTACTCTTTAATTGAGCAACTGGTGGGAGGATTGAGAATGGTAAGCTGAAGCGACTGGTCGAAGGGTTGAGAATACTGAGCCTAAATGACTTGTCGAAAGGTTGAGAATGCTGAGCTTAAGTGACTGGTCGAAGGGTTGAGAATGCTACGCTTAAATGACTGGTCGAAGGGTTGAGAATGCTGAGCTTAAGAGACTGGTCGAAGGGTTTAAAATGCTGAGCTTAAGTGACTGGTCGAAAGGTTGAGAATGCTGAGCTTAAGTGACTGGTCGAAGGGTTAAGAATGCTGAGCTTAAGTGACTGGTCGAAAGGTTGAGAATGCTGAGTTTAAATGACTGGTCGAAGGGTTGAGAATGCTGAGCTTAAATGACTGATCGAAAGGTTGAGAATGCTGAGCTTAAGGGACTTGTCGAAGGGTTGAGAATGCTGAGCTTAAGGGGCTGGTCGAAGGGTTGAGAATGCTGAGCTTAAGGGACTGGTCGAAGGGTTGAGAATGCTGAGCTTAAGAGACTGGTCGAAGGGTTGAGAATGCTGAGCTTAAGGGGCTGGTCGAAGGGTTGAGAATGCTGAGCCTTAGGGACTGGTCGAAGGGTTGAGAATGCTGAGCCTTAGGGACTGGTCGAAGGGTTGAGAATGCTGAGCTTAAGGGACTGGTCGAAGGGTTGAGAATGCTGAGCTTAAGGGACTGGTCGAAGGGTTGAGAATGCTGAGCTTAAATGACTGGTCGAGAGGTTGAGAATGCTGAATTTAAATGACTGGTCGAAGGGTTGAGAATGCTGAGCTTAAGTGACTGGTCGAAGGGTTGAGAATGCTGAGCTTAAGGGACTGGTCGAAGGGTTGAGAATGCTGAGCTTAAATGACTGGTCGAGAGGTTGAGAATGCTGAATTTAAATGACTGGTCGAAGGGTTGAGAATGCTGAGCTTAAGTGACTGGTCGAAGGGTTGCGAATGCTGAGCTTCAGGGCCGGATTTAAATTGGACGAGGACCTAAGTTAATAAAAGGTGAAAGTTTGGGTGTACCAAGCTGATTTTTTTTTTCGATTTAAATAAGCAATACGTTAGAATAAATGAAAGCCATAGATAACATACCTACAATAATATTATTAAAACAGGAAGTTTTTGGACAGTTAAAAAAAAAGATTAAACGGAAACCGCACTCCCGAAAAAACAAGGGACATTTTTCTCGGCATCTGCATATAGCAAGCCTCTTCGTTGTAGCATAGTTAACTTAAACTTCAGCACTGGTGAGCTCTTGCTCGAGAGATCTGGTGTGAATCTTTGGTAAGGTGATGAATTTTGTGTGTGTGTATGTGTGTGTGTGTAAGTATGTGTGTATGTATGTGCATGTGTGTATATGAGTGTATGTATGTTGTGTGTGTGTGTGTGTGGTCGGGCAGAAATAAAATGCTGACCCACTCAGCCCCTGGCCACTGCACTAGCCACGCGGCCCTAAAACCTCAGGCTGAATACCCCCCCCCCCCCCCCCTTTCCCACACTTACTGACCTCACAAACAGGCAGTAGTAACGGTATTTTGGAAATTATATTTTTACTTCATAAATTGTTAGAGAATTTACAAAGAGACTAAATGCCACCAACCATGTTTGGTTATCTTTTTCAGTAACTGTTTATAGACTTCATTTATTTCACGTCATGGAGCAGGTCCTATGCAGAACCTCGCTCTTATTACCGTTTGCCTGAAAGAAACTCGGTCTCTCAGAAGAAGAAGAAGAAGAAGAAGAAGAAGAAGAAGAAGAAGAAGAAGAAGAAGAAGAAGAAGAAGAAGAAGAAGAAGAAGAAGAAGAAGAAGAAGCTATTCCGCCTCGTGCACTTTCCTACCAAAGGTGTCACTTACATCCTGTGGCCATCTCGGCGCTAGTTGGCCGTCACTGTTTACTGGTATCATGTCTTCTGTTACTGTTATTTTCAATACACCAGGGCTCTTTTTATGGCTAAATATTTCAGTTTCCAAGATGTTGTTTACCAGCCAATCTTCCTTATTGTTCAGATCTTTTAGTATGCCTGAGAATCTTTGAAATAATAATTTAAATAATAATATTAATAACAATCGTGATAATAATTATTATTATTATTACGTACTTAAATAAGACAGACCCATTGAGCTCTCTGATAAAAGATATGTAAAGGGACTCCCTTCTCTCCCCCCCCCCCCAATCCCAAGTTTGTTTTCTGTGTCAACGCCCCTGCAAGTAAAGATATTGTTAATACAAATACAAAACCGACATAATCAAACCCCTAATACACTGTGCCAAAAAGTTAAGCTTTTAAAAAACCTATCTCTTTCGGACGATCCATAAACAATAATTAATTACCATCCCTTTAAGTTAGTCAAGTTTCCCAGCAGTAAAGTACTACAGGCCAAAATATCCCTAACAAGTGTTAAATAGGCCACATCACATGCCAGTTGCTATCTAGCTGGCATGTTGACTACAAATGTTGCGCTTTTCCAGCTTTCCATTACTCTGCAGGTGATCGGTTCCTGTCAGCTAATGCACCTTCCAGCACCGTAATCTGATAGCATGTTTGTCTGCGTGTACATCAACACACCTCCTCTGTTTTTTTTTTCTTTTCTTTCTTTTTTTACAGACAGGGGCGTTGACACAAATAAATCTTGAAGAAAAGAGTTTGGGGAGGGGGGCGCTCAGCCACATTACACATTATATAGGGGAGAGGGAATCAAGGGACTCGAGATTAATTTCATTGTTTAATAAGGATAATAACAGTATTATCAAGAATAATAACGACAACAACAATACAGTATTAATAGTAAAAAGTAAGAAAAGGTACCACTATGCCTTCAGGCGTATTTGAGCATATGTTTGTTTTATTATCCAGAAGCCATGAGTTGTTAACCATTAGGCTCGGTATTATGGATATCGCAACCTTTCGGCCTTGATTCCATTTTAAATACCGTAAATCTGGG